CATGCCAGTAGCCCAAACACCTTCTCTGTGCTTTAACATATTCTGCCCGAGTATTGTGCCTTCTTTCGACTTCAGGGAAGCCTCGGGACGCTACATTGGTGGCAGCGGAAAGCGAACCTGATCCTAAAGGACACCTCACTTCTGCGTGATAAACCTCAGTGGAGTGGAAGAAGTACATATTGCTACGGATGGGAGAATAGTGATGACCCCTAATAGAAGGGTTGAAGTTGACGTCTACCTCCGATATCTATCCCAGTCCCGTGTTCTGCAGAAAAGCTATTAGCAACTGAAGCGACGCTGGCCGTGAACCATCTGGAACTTTCGTTACAGACTTTCCCTACCGTCTCCCATGGACCTGTATTAAATCCCGTCCTTCCTTACACAAATCTACTTTTAGGCCAGTGTTCCTACATCCACCTATGGACACGCATGATGGCCAGCTCAATTCCCCGTCCTGAATCAAGTTTCTAAACCAGACGAAACTCCAGATTCAGTTAAACAGCCAAGAGGGATCAGTGACGTTGAGGTCAATTACTTCCTCAGTTGCACGCTAATTTGGCAACTGGCACGGTAGGATCGCAGATGTTTCTTTACGACACCGACTACGTTGTAATGGCTGACACGGGGGGTTGACCTGCGGAAGCGCCGGGGCCGACGCCCAAAAGAGGAGGGAGGCTATGTAATACGATGGTTGTTTATCCCTCGGTACTGGTGAGGCGCCACTTTTGAACTTTTGAAGTTACCTTCTTGTACCTTGCTGGGTGAGCTGGCTTTCGGGCCATGCCAGTAGCTCAAACATCTTTTCTGTGCTAAATATATATATTCTGTCCGAGTATTGTGCCTTCTTTCGTCTTCAAAGAGGTCTCGGGACGCTACACTATACACTGCATAAAGGGGAAAATAAAGTGATCCGACGTATCAGGATGTGGGAAGTTCAGACATATAAGTGCCCCGATTGCCAGTAAGACGGCTTTTGGTGGATGTGTTATTGGCAGTGCTACCAAACTATAAAAAGGGCATTCGTTTTAGAGAATAAGCCAAACTCTAATTCTTTATGTACGCACAGATAAAATGCAGCGTTGCCGTACTTGTAAAAAACACGACTAAAACGCACTTAAAACAATTTCGGCTTTCATGACCCAAGGAGGGGATAACCACCAATACTGCCTTTTTAGGAAAAAAAGTCGCACCACTTTCCATTTTATTTTTTCCTCAATTTGATCAAAAAAGAAGAAAAATGATCACTCCAAGGATTGGGAAAGCTGTTCACAGGACAGTCTGTGTATTTAAGCAAAACTTTTATGCCGTTCAGAAGTGAATGACTGAAAAATTTTATCGTTATAATCTTTCTCAAATTAAAACCCTCGAATGCATTAATTGGAACTTGAGGTGATTCTTGGAACATCCGACATTGCCTCGCTATTATGGAAATACTAGACGATGCACAGACAGCAATGGGGAAGCTTCTTTTGCTTTTGTAAAAAAAGCGATTTCTAATAGTAAAAATAACTGAATTTCAAATCACTTGACACTCCCTGATTGCTACTGGCCGAATGGACGACAATGGCCGCGCATTGTTCGTTGCTACGCCGAGGAATGAGCAAAAATCCACGGTATATTTTTATACGCAGCGCAAGTAGCACAAACACAGGCCTCCACGGATAGGAAGACAGAAAGTGTCGTTTATTTTGCA